GAGAGAGAGAGAGAGAGAGAGAGAGAGAGAGAGAGAGAGAGAGAATAAATATATCTTTTTGTAGATGGACACAACACATGCCTTTATTTTTATGTGGTGATGAGAATTAACCCAGGTCCCACCTGTGCTAGGCGAGAGCTCTACCACTGAGCCACAATCCCAGCCCAAGCAGTTCATTTTTAAACAAGGATACAAAAATCTTTCTTGAAATACCAGCAATAAAATATGGTATCATACAACATTAAACAAAATAATGAAATAATTTACTGCCATACATAATTAAAATTATCAAATCAGAGAAAACATTATTAATGGAACTAACTAGCTTCATTTCTTCTTTTATAACATTATCACTATTATGAAATTCATTTAAATATATAACCAAAGAACCAAACACAGTGGAGAAATAGCTACATGAAGAAAGAAAATAAAGGAACTGAGGATGTAGCTCAGTGGTAGAGCACCTGCCTAGCCTAAATTATGCCCTGGGTTTGTGTCCCAGATAGGAAAGACAGAGTGAAGTAGGAGAAAGAGAAGGAGAGAAGGAAAAAAGAGGAAAGGAAATGAAAAGGAAAATGAAAAAGAAAACAGCTCTCTCCTACAGCCGACCAAGATGCTGAAGGGAAAGAAGGCCAAGGGGAAGAAGGTGGCCCCGGCCCCCGCCGTAGTCAAGAAGCAGGAGGCTAAGAAGGTAGTGAACCCGCTCTTCAAGAAGAGATGAAAGAACTTCGGCATCTGGCAGGACATCCAGCCCAAAAGGTACCTTACCCGCTTTATAAAATGGCCCTGCTACATCCTACATCCAGCTGCAGCAGCAAAGGGTTATTCTCTATAAGCTGAAAGTACCTCCTGCGATTAACCAGTTCACCCAGGCCTTGGATCGCCAAACAGACACCCAGCTGCTTAAGCTTGCCCACAAGTACAGACCCAAGACCAAGCAGGAAAAGAAGAAGAGGCTATTGGCCCAGGCTGAGAAGAAGGCTGCTGGCAAAGGGGATGTCCCCACAAAGAGATGACCTGTCCTTGGAGCAGGGGTCAATACTGTCACCACCTTGGTGGAGAACAAGAAGGCTCAGCTGGTGGTGATCACACTTGACGTGGATTCCATCGAGCTGGTTGTCTTCCTGCCTGCCCTGTGTCGCAAGATGGGAGTCCCTTACTACATCATCAAGGGGAAGGTTAGGCTAGGACATCTGGTTCACAGGAAGACTTGCACCACTGTTGCCTTCACACATGTTAACTCGGAAGACAAAGGAGCTCTGGCTAAGTTGGTGGAAGCTATCAGAACCAACTACAATGACAGATATGATGAGATCTGTCACCACTGGGAAGGCAACGTCCTGGGTCCAAAATCTGTGGCTCACATTGCCAAGCTGGAAAAGGCAAAAGCTAGAGCACTTGCCACTAAACTGGGATAAATGTATGCTGTTGCATTTCTGTACATGAAAGTAATAAATTGTCCTTCATCCAGTGTCTTGGGCTGAAGGCAATAAACTTGTTTCAGGCAGTAGCAAGGGCATGCCCCATAGTGTGAGAGCTTTAGAAACTCATTGTGTAACTTGCATGGAAAGGCTGTATAGAGCAGTAAAATGTTCAGAAACCAAAGGAAAAAAAATGAAAGGAAAAAAAAAGAAAACAAATGACAAAAAGAAAAAGAGGAGTAAGTACACTGAGTGTTCCTGGCTATCCCTCTAATACCTCTAGTTCCAGTCAACCCCCTGGGAACTAAGAAAAGGAGAAATTACAAAACCTCAATTTTCAATTTTCAAACAGTGAACACAAAGAGAAGAAGGCTATTTTTACATAGATACAAGTTCCTTCGGCATTTTCCAAGTCCGAATTGTAATTTTAACAATACTTAATCCTTAAAAAAAATACCCCCCCCACATACTAGCACTGGTGAACACCTATAAGAAGTCCTAATTGAAATTAAATATGACACTAATTCTGTAATAAACCACCAGAGGGAGAGAAAGCTATTCTAATCTCAGTAACTTGAGTCTACTATTTACAGGTATAGTTTCGTTACCAATTTCCTCTAGTCCTGAAGCATGACCACGTGAGCCTCACCATTGCCTTGATAATCGTGAGTCTCATGGATTCATTCCAGCCACCTGGCCCACAAGAATAAGCACATGACCATCACCTCCAGAGAAAATTAGATAGCAGTGTAGTTCCTGCTGCCTGGGGAGATCGGCAAGCATGCCATGACCAAGGACACCAGGGCTGTCATCAGGTTGTCATGCGTTTCACCTGCCACCAGTGAGCTGCATCTGGATGCCCTGAGCAGAACCCAAAGGATATTTTCAGAGACACCACTTGTCCTAAAAGACCTGTAGCACTGCCAACACCAGACCGCTCCAGTCTGGGGGCAGAGTACATCTTGCTGATTCTCTTAGTACTACTAGTAATAGTAGAATTAGAAGAAGTAGTAGTAGTTAATGTCCAAATTAATAGGATTTTCTGTGATATTTCCATCCATACAGCTATCATTCATTGATCGTGGCTATCCTTCCTTCTTCTACCCTCTCTAATGTCTGCCCTTTTTGTCCCCTCTCCTGATCCTCTTCCCAGTACTTTCCCTCTTCCTCTTCCACTTTTAGGCCTTTTTTTTCTAGTTTCCACATATAAGAGAAAATATAGATTACTTGTCATACTGTGTCTGGTTTATTTCACTTCACATGACATCTTCCAGTTTCATCCATTTTCCCACAAAAGATATTGTTTCAGGGGCTGGAGTTGTGGCTCAGTGGCAGAGAGCACTCTCCTGGCATGTATGAGGCACTGGGTTTGATCCTCAATACCATAAATAAATAAATAAATGTACATCAACAACTAAAAAAAAATTGTAAAAGATATCACTTCATTCTCTATGGCTGAATAAAACTCTATAGTGTGTATATGCCATATTTTCTTTATAATCCATCTGTTGATTAACACATAGACTAATTATATATCTTGAATACTATGAATAGTGCTGCATAAACATGGATATGAAGGCATTTTCACCATTCAGGGGGTAAAGGAGGTCTCCAGAAATGGAGGAGACCTCTACTCAAACTTTTATAGGTTCTTGACCACATGGCAGAAAATAATTTAGGACATCTCAGGTTATAGCACAAGTGGAAGTGCTTTATTTTCAAACCAAATTCAACACTCAAGGGCTAAGTGCAGACATATTCAAAGCCTGAGTGGCCTTATAGATGGGTTGTGTTTTATATTGGCTAGAAGAATTAATATTCGTAAGCAGGACTTGACTATTGTTTGAGGGTCCCTGGATTTGGGAGGTCCGTCATAGAATCCAACTCAGCTTCATTAGCATCTAAATTTTTAGCTAAGGGGTGTGTGAGTACCTACAGTAACCAGCTTTAATACACAAAAAGGTAAAATAGAAGTCAAGTTGCTTCTTGATATGCCTGCACAAGAAACCACTCACAGCTGGCTCAAACATATGGCCACTCTGTGGTTAGATAGAATGTTTCTTGTCTACTCATAGGCCAGCAGGATATCTGTGATTGAACAGGAGGCGTGGTGTCACTGGGATCCATGCCTGATGCTAGTATAACACTCACCTAATCCCACATATCTTTAGTTAAACAGGAGGCTTAATGCCAGCAGGATCCCTGCAGTTAAGCAGTTTCCTGTCAAGTAAGTCCAGCTCATACTATCTATAAAGTAAGACTGTCCATTTGCACTTACTCCTCCTGTTCCCTGTCTCAGCATCCCTTTTGTATGCTGACTTCACTTATTTCAGATATACACCTAGGAGTGAG